GTATGATTTTTTTTTAGTTGACCAGCATAACTTGTTTCATACTGTACCTTCTTCCTTTCAACAGAGAACTTGTGTGGTTTCTGTGCCGGTATGATACCACTGAAAATATGCTGACTGACAACAAAGTGACTGACAGGTCATTAAAGAAATCTTATTGGCCTCCATTTTGTTCTTTAAGTTCTATAAGCTATATTTGTCATACAATAAGGATTTGTCATTTTCTAGATGTTCTGGTCAGCACCTACATTATTGGATAACAAAAAAGATCGCTAACGTACTAATTAGAAAAGCTCCTGTAAAATTTGCACAATCTCATCTAATACCCTTCTTTATCATATCTGGAAACACTGGTATACCTGTCTTTTAAAGGGGCAGTAGTTTTATGGGTGTTCTTGTGCTCTCATTTTTATGTATTTTCTGTTTTTATTGTTTCGTTTTTAAACTGTTCTTTTATTGCTTTTATTTTATTTGTTTTTGACCTTGGACCTTGAGTCTGTAATAAAGTGTCATCATCATCATCATCATAAAGCTGTAGATTTACTGAACTGAAATCCTGAGCTCAGGAAGTTGCTCCACTGGGAGGGTGAGAATGAAACCTATTTTAATAATGTCGAGCTTTTCTCTTATCCACCATAGAATAGCAAAGAAAACACACCATAACATCAATCATTTAGCGAATGTGCTGGGGGGAAGTCTTGCATAATCTTGTATGCAGCTTATATAATTTTTTACATGTTCCAGCTAGTATCGCATGAAAGCCGTGTGGGATATTTTGCAATGAAGCAAGGAAGCTCTAACACTATTTACAAGCTGCCCTGATGAAATGATTTCTCAAGAAAAAATTTAAGAAGTGTAACTTGACAACACCCTACGTGGGAGGTATATGCTATGTGAGTGCCCTCAAGTTGATCAAGACAAGCATATTGCAGTTTGGGTATTTTCTCTGTGAGCTAATGGGTGGGAAAATTACCGATGTCATTCAAGTAATGACAAGGCTTTTATCTGCATTAGCTACACATAAAAAGACAAGGTGTTTTGCTGTTTGGTGCTTATCATATTTTTTTACTTCCTGCTGTAGCCTAAGATACTGTATCAGCACTTTTGAAGTTTCCGGTTGTCTTATTGTGTGTGTGTTTATGATTCATGTTTTTGCATGTTTTATGTTGTCTTGCTGCATCCAATCTGATCTGAAATGAAGGTTAAAAAAAGATGTATCTTCAATTAGTCTTTTACTGATATGTGTGTAGGTTAGAAGTTTCAGATCAGCATAGTGTATCTGTGCCACGCCTTGCATTTGACCTCTCTGCTTAGTACATATATTAATTCAAAAACAAGTTCTGCTGCTTTTACTGGCTGACTGAGCATCTTTCAGGAAGAGCTTACATCAGGAACGCAAAGCCAATGTTAGATATAATGCTACATGAACCAACCCTCTTGTAGACAGACAGGTGTTTTTATATAGTAACAGCATTGAAAACAACTGCTGTCATTGGTTTTAAGTGTCCATAATGTTAGGTGGGAATATTACAGTTCCAATGGCATTTCTGCTGTGACCACTCCCTCATTTAGTCTCTTCATTCTTGGCAATTCATCTGTGTTTACACTACAGACTATTGCTACTGAAAGTGTAGAAAGAAATTCTTGATAAAATGATATAGTGCTATGTTATGTATTTATGTTTATGTTATGTTCAAATAATTGTTTAATCTGTGTGACCTTTGTAAAGATTTGACCTGTGGACATGAAATGCTGTAAGGAGGTGCAGAGAGACTCAGAACAACAGGAAGTCGTGCAGATACATACTGAGATGACTAAACTGTCTGCACGAGAATTGTGTGTGGGCGTAAGGTCTGATTGTCTTGGCTTCAGATTATCAACATTTATCAACATTATATGAAATTCTAGGATTGACATTATAATCTGCATTACCAAATATATCTACAAGTTTACTTTAGTATCATATGCTTTATGATTTACTTTTGCTTTAACCAGCTCACTTGTCTTTAAGAATATAGGAGACATGTGTAAGGGTGTACGAGTAGACAGGAAACCACATACAGGAAGTAGACCAGGTTGCATAGCAATGCTCAAGGTGCTTCCTCTAAAACTGTCTATTGAAAGGTCAGGATGTGTGGTTCTGAGAATGTCACAGATCAAAATCTGCCTGGCGACAAGATCACCAAATGAGGGGTCAGAACGAGGTGAAGAAACCAACCAATGAACAAGGATGAAGGATAACGCTGATGACGTCAGATCATTTGCATGACTCTTATTATAAATTCTTTATGCAGAGGAAACTCGTGGTTCCGGCTTCCGGCAGCAGCTATGCACTGACTTCTCTGTGTGATAGGGCTTCAGATAGAAACGGAATCCAGAGCTCTGTAATTGCTTTTCTTCATCAAGGTTGTAAT